GAAAGCACAATAAAAATAATCAGTGACCCTTCATACTACTTTGATGTCAGTAAATTTGGCAAGAGTTTCAGTGACGTGCCACATTTACTTGTGATACGTATCACAAGGACCTAGGCATTAAGTACCTAGGCATAAAGTACTTACGGAGTAGACAGGTCTTGACAATAACTTTGTTGTCCTGCCTGGATGGTTGGTCATACCCAGCAAATTGACATGACCTCTGTCTATGGCTGTTTTGCCTCCTGCTCATTGTGGGGGTCACAACATCTATACAGAACTTCCTCAAAGATGTTCTTTATCTAGTAGCAAGGAGAAGAGATTCCTCCTTGCAAAGGGAATGTCTAAATGGGTGAAAGATGCCTTGGGAAAATACATGTCCTTCTGGACAAGGATGACTATCCATCAGCCTCGTAGACTGGAATAAAACTGAGAACACAGCTGAATAATGGAAAAAAAAAAGAAAAGCAGCACAGGACCAAAATCTTGTAAAAAGATATTTTGGTGATAGAACCTAAAGCCAGCTCCACCCACACCTCAACCTGACAGCAGTACAGCCAGGCATCACATGTCAATAGCTTAATGTGGTGGTGATATAAAACTGAGCTCAGCCAAGACAGCTCTGGACTCCTGCTACATGAGCTGCAGCCATAGGCCACAGCCCAGGTGGATCGGAGACTGAGCACTTGGAGACAGACCCTTCCTGCAAAGAGCTTCATGCCCCAGGGCACAACACAGTGGAGAGCTGGAGAGATACTGGGACAACAGTGAACCCATGCAAGGTGGTGATACAGCACACCAGCATCTTCAGTACTGTCCAGTTTTTTGAATCCAACAGGTCAAAGACAAGTTTTTAATACAGCTGCTGTTCTCCAGGTATTTATACTCTACCGTGATGGGGAGAGTGGCAGAAAATGCCTGTGTGCACATGGACACCAGATCTGGCAGTACAGCCCAACTATCCAATGCCAGCAAGTGAGCTCCCCCCAGCCCATGGGATTATTGCATTTTCTGGAGTTAGCTCTACGCAGGAGAAGGATGGTGACTCCAAAGTGCGTAGGCATAACTGAATCAGAAAGGTGAACTCACCCCATTTACGGCAGTTGGTACTGATCATTATTTAACTGCATCAGAGCAGAGCAAATGCTTCCTAACCCATAAATCCAGAACCACCTGACTAATTCCTGGACAATTTTGTTGTCAATAGTTTTTATTTACTTTTAGTTTGATGATATGTTTTGTGCTCCACTTTTTGTATGGTCAGCTGCTGTGCTGAGCCTACCTTCTTGCCTCCTGGCCATTCCCAACAGTGATATGCATGTTTTCTTGTCCATAACTGTGCCATTTAAGTGGCATCAGCCTGGGAAGCAAGAACAGGGGCTATACCCTGCCCGGGAAGGTTGCCATCCCTCTGCTGGTCCATGCAGAAGCAGAAGACCCTCTGCTCTGTATTTGGAAGATGCCAGAACTCTGGCAACACAACTCCGAGTCTATTCTTAACTGTAAACTCCATCACAATATAACCCAGCAGGGCTTATAAGTTCTCATCACAGACGAGACAGAAGTCACACCAAGAGGTAGTTAGTGCTGACAGGAAAGCTTGTGTATCACAGAATCATAGAATGCTTAAGATTGAAAGGGACCTCTAGAGGTCATCTAGTCCAACCCGCACACGCAGTGTGTCCCAGCTGAGAGACTGGTGAAGTCCCTCAAACAAGGAGAATTACTTTCTTCTAGTGATTATAGGATGACATAACAACTCATCATACCTGTTACCCTGCAAGTTACATGAGAATTGTTTTACAGCCTTATGCTAAGGCCAGATAATCCTAGGAGGGACCTTTGTCGCTCTTTCTGAGGGTCTGATCCGGGAGAACTTTCTCCAGGTGGCATGTTACACTGCCTTTTCCCTCTAAAGAAAAGATGAGGGAGGCAACGCTCCTGTCAAATTTTTCTTTCTTTTGGTCATGCATTCTGTAATGAGAAGAACAGGAATGATTTGTTCATGCTTGCACAAGGCATTCTCCAGAATTCAGAATATTCCCCGAATGTTTAGGTGGAGAATTAATCCCCGTGAAGTCAGAAGAAAGAATATATTCAGGCTCAGATCTACAGAGGCATCATATTCAATACAATCAAGCAAGAACATTGTCATGCTTAACTGCCCAGATTTGGCTTCCCTGTCAGATATACAAGAGTTAGAGAAAGATCAGTAGCATCAGTGCATTTTGATTGATAGAAATCCAGATAACATAGAATCCAGACTGCTGCTATTTCAAGAAGTCATTGCAGCTCTTCCCAGGAAATGAAGTGTCTAGAGTGATGCTTGCAGGTCAAGGTGCCCATGCTCCGATATAGCTAAGCAGTAGTGAGGCCATGCACCGTTTTTCATCTTAACAGATGCAGTTGATTTGATGACTGTGGAAATCGGGCCAGTTAGGAAGAATTGTGTTTGCTGTCAATCACCAGTGTAAAGACAGATATCAGTAGCTATGTGACTTGCTGTCTGATCGAGTGACAAATCCTCTTCATTTGAGGGAAGAAGAGAGCTTGGCATACAACTCTTTCTTTGATACGGCAAGGAAGAAGTCCATTGTGTCTCAGTTACCTAGATAAATGTAGGAAAAGGCCAAGGAAGCAATGGATCTGAAATCAAAACTAGTAGCAAAAAGGCACTCTGGATGCCAGGCTCTTTGAATTTGCACAATTGTAAATTAACAGAATGACCCTTAATGGGCTGTGATAGTGTTTTATTATTTCTCCAGCTACATGTAAAGTTGCATTCAATTTGCCCTTTGCGAACATATCATGCTCATACAAGCCCTGGCTAGCATAAAGCTGGAGGGTTGCTGTGCAGAGTTCTCTGTGAAGACTTAGAAGCAGAATGGTGAGCACTGACAGGAGCAGCTGGCCACAAACTGGCTTTCTATCATGATGATCATCTATGGTTTCTGAAGATAGTTTAAAATCAGCTGCCTGAAAAAAAAAAACCCTATCATCTAGATGATCATTTATTGTTGGAATCATGTGGTTGTCATTTAAGACCAGAAACAATGACTGGATTATTTTTTCATTTTGTTCTTATGAGAGTCCTTACTATGTGCTTCTCAAGCCTGTCTTGCATGGCAGGTTTGATGCATCATGTTACATTGCAGTTCTGATGCTCATTTCTTCTCTTCTCCCCAATTCTAGAATAAGATTAGTCTTGTGCCACTTCCGTGAGAAGTAAACGGTCGTTGAGGAGATATTTAATCCAAGCTTCTACAACTTAGCTCACCTGAGATCTCTCAGATGTCATCTATTGGAAAGATCAGCAATCAGAAAAATAGACACAGGGGATGGGTAATTTTCGTTATCTATAATGGGTGCTTAAGGTAGATATTCATGAAGTCTATTCCTGGGTCCAGCATGCACTCGAAGCCTTTGAACCTTTATTTCCTTTTAGAAAAAAAAAGTAAGACTCAATATAAATGGATAGGATTGGATGTCTACATCTTACATGGCAGTAGCTTAGCAAGGGTTCAAAGAGGTTTCTTAAAAATCTCTGCTATACCTAGCAAGTCAGTAAATGTAGCTCAAGCACACTGAGTCAAGGTATATCATTATCTGGAGGGGCATTAAGGCTGTGATGGGCTGACAAGCAGGGAAGCTGCACTCTTAAGCAGCTGAAGAGAAAGTTTTTGAGCTGAGCCTTGAAGACTGAATCAGACTTTATTCCCTGAGCTTCTTAAAACAGGGGAAATGGTGACTGTGGAATTAAAAGCCAAAGAGGAGCCAGACTGGAAGAGGTATATCCAGACTCTCCAGTCCACTGGACTTCATGGTACAACTGTTGTTGCTGGAGAGGAGGTAACCTCATCTGCGTGGGTTAGAATGGAGGAAAGCTACAGGTGAGATGTCACATGGGCATCACTGGCCTGTTAAGAATCGTGTGTCAGGAGTAAGTTATTCTGCACACGTTACTAGTAACTCTTCCTACTTGGCATGAAAGATATCAAGGATATCGATGACACTGAATTATCCTTCAAATAGGAGAGACACATAAAAGGGCATCCCTGTCCAGAACTTCTTGTGGAGGAATTTATGGTGGAAGACGGAGTAACTTTGTTTCTGATGACTGATGTGTAATTAGAAAAAGCACATTGCTGTGATTATGCAGCATCATGCTTTATTAGTTCAAGATATATGAACTTACGGTCAACTTTTCTACCTCCTGCCAGCATGCTTCCCAGTCTCTCATACCAACACAATTCCTGCACAGGGTGGATTTATTTAACTTATCTCAGCTAAAGACTACTCAGCCCATTTAGACTAAAGTTTTCCTTTAGTGGTTAAAGCACAGATTTCTACATTTCGAAGAATGTTTAAGCAATTTTCAGGAAACAGATACAGATCTGGACATGCTCTATCTTTGCCTAAGTGGCCCTTAAGTAATAGGCAGCAGATGTTTTGAGGCTGAAGAAAACACCATTTCACAAACAATCTCAAGTTCTGTTTATTTAAAGAAATGGACTTAATAAGTCCATTGTGAGCATAATCACAAATAGAGTAAACTGAATGCATTTCCTATGATACTGTTAGCTGGAACTCTATCAGATTTTGTTTTCTTTGGAGTCCAGTGAGAATTGAAGACCTAAAAGATGACCTTCATAATTCAATAATCATCACAAAACACTTCCTTGAGGGATAAAATATGCAAGGCATGTGCAGGACTGAAAAAGGGTGCCTTGCTTAACAGGAAATTTAAGAGTTTGGGCTCCTGGCCAAAGGAAGGGTTTTCACAAAGAAACAGTTCACGCAGCCCCTGCATTCAGAGTCATTCCTCCTCTGCCCGGATCTCTTGGCCTCACTCTTCCTGCTTGCTCTGCAAGGGTCAACAGCTCACTTCTCTTGACAGGTCAGAGACAGATGAGATGGGTGGAAACATGACACGTCTTGTTACTCCAGCTATTGCTTAGCTCTATATCTGTCGTATCCACCAGAGCCTCTCCCTGCCCTGCTCTTCCTCAGCCTGCTTCCTGCACAGCCTCTCTCCTCCTGGGGCTCCTTTTGGTCTCTGGCTCCATTTGTTCAAGTAAACTAGAACAGGGCAGGGCTTTGGGCACTGGCTTGCAGCTGTGTCCCTGAGGTGTAGCTGCCAGTACGCTCCCTAACATGGCTTTGGCCCTTGACAGCTCCTCCTCTCTGCAGTAAATGGCAAGGCATAGTTCAGGGGACAGCATGGGGCAAGGATTCCCAACAGACCATATGAACCCATGGATCCAATAGACCACATGGATCTATAGCTCTGTTGCAGATGAGGGCAGGTGAGCAGAGGGGATGCAAGCCATGCTGTGCTGCTCGCATTCAAAGACCAGAGAAGGGGCCCCAGTAATGTTCACTTCGCAAGAGTAGTCACAGCCTGTTGCGTCCATCCTTCTTCTGAGTTCCCCTCACACTAGATTGCTCTTAAGAGCTGAAACCATCTTTTCTGGTAAAGAAGAGTCAAAAGGAGCAATGAAGCACTCAGGAGGATAACTTTTTACTCACAGTGCCCAGAGAGGTTGTGGAGTCTCCTTCTCCGGAGATCTTCAAAACCCACGTGGACGCAGTCCTGTGCCACGTGCTCTAGGTGACCCTGCGTGTGGAGGGGAGTAGTTGGACTAGATGACCTCTAGAGTTCCCTTCCAATCTTGAGCATTCTAGATGATTCTATGATTCTATTTGTAAGTTCTTGATTGACAGTCAAACAGGTCTGACACAAAGAAGAGTCCAGGTCTGCAGTTGCAGAGCAGAGGGACATTAGAACTACTTCAGTCACTGGAAAAAGGTTTTGGAATTTGCACAGAACAATCCAGTTACAAGAGAAGCCCACAGAAAACCAGTCCCACACTTTCTAGCTTGCTGCTAGCCCTAGGGAGCTGTTTACCCATATTCCTATCATAAGTCTTATTTTCTTACAACTAACCAGAAATGTCTATCTCCCTGCTTACCCATTTCCAGTCCCCACTGGAAACAAAGATTCAGGCAACTCTTATAGGGCATTTAGCCCCAGCATGGGTCTCTGCACCTACAGCCAATGCCATCTTCATCCTCACTGCTTGTCCAATTACTTTTTTAAAAGTAGATAGAAGATAAGATATATGTAACTTGGCTTGGAAGAACATAAGTTAGCTCAGGAGTTTTATATAACCCCCAAACATTCACAGGATGGATATGTGTGGATAGCAAAAGCACTTCTAAAGACCAAGAAATGACAATGGGCAGCAAATCAGACATAAATTTGCAAGAAAACACTCTTTGAATTCCCTGCACATACACATGCATCAGGTCATGGAAAAAATGAGTAGAAAGTCCTTGTTTCATGAGCTTAATCCAGAATGTTCCAAGCATTCTTGTCCCACTCCAACACAGCAGCTGAGCAAGGTTTTATTTCAAGGGCATGAATCTCAGGAAAGCAAGTAGGATTATTCATGTGCTTAAAGTTAAGCATAGGTGGAAAATTGCTTCTCTGACTGTGGGCCACTGTGCTTAGCATTCAGGTCATCCTTTCTACCTTCTGGTCTGCTGTTTCTAGAAGGGCACGTTTGGCTCCACCAACAATGAATTGGAAGACTGAGCAAATCCCGAATAAAGCAACAGGGCCAGAAAACCAGAGGAATTGACTTACAAGGGAAAATCATAGAGCTAAATAGGATTTATCTAAAATATAACACAGTGTGTGGGCATATGTGAAAATACTCTGTAGATATCTGAGGAGAGTAAACAGCATTGATAGAGAAAAATTGTTTAAGTAAACACACCGGCAGTGTAATTAGGGTAAATAAGATGAAATTAAGAAAAGGAAAATTTAGATTAAATGCTAGCAGCATCTTGATGAGAGATTGATGAGAGTTTGTGCTGTGAAGCTGCCTTCCGCAGCTTGCTAACTATTGCACTTCTGTGTCTCATAAACTCATCAGTACGGAATTGAACAAATTAGCCCTAATTCTGCCTTTTTTCTCTTTATTTTAATAGAAATACTCTTGCATGGTTAATGCATTTTTGTCACAAATCAGACCTCACAATGCCACCTCAATGAGAAAGGAGACAAAGAGCCAAATTCTGCTCTGAGGTATATCAATATCAATCTTTGTTATCTTCATTGCTCTTTAACAAGGGATTTTAGAGCAATGAAGATCAGATCCTGTTCCAGGTTCTTTAGATTTAGCTGATGTAACAAATTTTGGATCTCTCCATATATTTTTTAACATTTCAAAGTCAAAGAGCTCATTCTGTCTTCACATAACTAGTTTTATCATCTAAAAATACTTGACGTTATCAAGTTATTCAAACAGCTCTTTTGCATGGTGAAGCAAACCACACACTGAGATTTTAATATGAGCAATCTGTCTAAGTCTTGTGTTTCATCAAGGCAGAACCAAGACGCTATTCTCATGCCTCTCTGTCTAGGATCTGTACCTTCATGTTTCAGAGAGCTGTTGACTTTACTTTCACAAAGGACGTGCTGTTGGGTTGACAGGCCCCTAGATCAGGTTCCCCAGGATAATACACTTCCAGTGGGAGGAGTTCAAACGTCCCTGTTTGTCTAGATGATCAGGTCTACAAGAGCCTGCAATGAAGCCATCACCCCTCAGCAACACTGAATCCCTGCTTTTGGCAGGGATCATCAGCTTTTAATTCTGCTTTAGTTTCTGCGGAGTAAAAGCATGGGCTGTAGGGACACAGGCATCCCTAATATCATGGGGGTCATTATCTCCCCGGAAGGCAGACTCATAGGCAGTCAGAATAATCTGGCATCAGCTAAGGATGAAATTGTTACCATGAGCAAAATCAGCTCTTGTTTCCCTTCAAAACTCCCACAGACCTCTTGGAGATGATGCAGTGTGCTCTGGTGAGCCCTGCAGGCCTTGTGGCAGAGGATCCTGCCCTGGCACCTGAAGTGCAAACTGGTGGTATTTGAGTGCGCTGCAGATGCTCCTTGCATCCAGGTAGAGTTAAAAGATCAGCTCTCATTTTTAAAAAAGGAAGTGTATTTTGCAGGTTGATTTATCGCTGCAAGCAACTTTTCCGGCTATTTGCATCCTCGGGATTGCTAGCGCAAGAATCTGCTACGCGAGCAAGGTTTGAGGCTTTGTTTTTTTTCCATGGTAATCTTCCTCTTGGCAAAAGCCATCTACATGAGCAGCTGGTGGCTGAGCAAATAATTTGAGTGGAGTTTGGTTTCTGAGGAAGCTTTCCACGTGCCCCTTACTGTAACACTCCATAAACACTGGTGTCACTGTGAGATCAGACTGCAGTTATCATTGTGTTTCACGATAAACACAGATGGTGTTTATATTTAAATATGCCAAATGTGGTAATGAGAGCAAACTTTGAGAGGATTTATTTTTATATTATTTCCATTCTGGCCTCAGTTAATTAGGGCTGCTGTGACCTGTCTTTTGAAGGAGGAAAATATATTTATGCTGTGCTATTCAGGTTTTAAAAAATAAGTGAGACTTTTTTTTTTTTTTTTTGCTGAAGGACACTGAGCTCCTGTTTCCTGAGAAGTTTTATTGCCCAGTTTTGAAAAATGTAGACAAAGATTTACAGAGATAATTTGGCTATTAGCTTACACACATATCTTAACTGTTTCCAAAATATTCTTTTTTTTTCACCAGAAAATGAGATTAATCTAAGAGCTGGAAAAGTTTTATTCTGCCCTATGCAGATTCGTAAGCCATGGTCATGCATTGGACACCAGAGAGCCGTGTGTTTAGCTATACATCTGTCTTCTGGTGCATGTTTCTTCTCCCACCTTCTCTGTGGTTGAGTGTGTTGGGAAGTGCTCTTTTAGATAAACGCTGACACATACAAATATGTGCCCA